TGATTGGGGCTTGGTATTCGGCAGGTATGCCCGTTCACAGACACGATTTAATGAGATGCATTGAAGTTTCAAATCCAGACATCACATAGTCCTGAACTACTATTGCCATGTGTAGGATCTTTTTCTAATCCTTTAAGTACTGTACGAATAAAAACATTTACTATTTCGAGTACATGTAATCTGGCTGCCGCTGATACACCGACACTGCGTGACACTGGGTGATAGGGGCGGGGTGGTGGCTGCACTTGCTCTGTTAGACTACTAACTATGAGCATACTTTACAGAAACGACAGTCCATGATAAAACAAAAAAAGAATATAATGAAACTGAGACTTTTTTCAAAAACTAAATATTATTTTGAGAATTTTAAAAAGAAATCTTACATGCACAATGAAAGTGACAAGTCTGTGGAAATCTAGACTTGCCACGTATTCTTGATTTGCATGGGCTTTCATGTTTCAGGGTCTGTATGACAGGCTATTGCTCTGTATGCGTGAGTGGGCGCTTGGAGGCCGTGTATATCCAATTGCCAATATCATGTTATGCCCAGTAATAAAACTTGTACACTGATGGTACTAATGTTGACATGACAGACGTTAGCAATTAGTAGGCAGGTTGTTTAGTTGTTAACAAAGTAGAAATATCTAGAGCTGAACGTATAAAGAGTTGGCCAACTTTCCACGATTCAACCTAAATACGGCTGCCATTGCTCTCATGTAAATATCGGAAATATTATAGTCGCGCATGTGACACAACTCTGTGGATCCTGTGACAGCAGGAACGGAAAGTTAAAGGCTGTCACAAAGGATTTTATGACAGGAATCCGTTTTCCTGACGTCAGCCGGGCAATGGCCCCCTATTGACGCGCACATGGCTAAAACAATACCACGTGACGGTCACCCGGAAGTGATTTCTTCCCGAAGCCCCCATGGGGAGATGCTGTTTACATTATATTAGGCCATCACAAAGCTGCAGTCAATGAGGCGATTCTGTTGACAATAGCTGGACAATGGCCACTAGGCAGTGACCAGTCCATACAATGGACAGATCAATCACAGCGGTATGGGAGAACAAGTGGACAGTCTTCCTCGTGTCATCTCCACACTGACCAAGGGCATGGCCGCAAGTGGACAATTGGGGATGAGATGCTTACGTCAGGGCGGAGGGGAAAAGATAGGGGTGATTTACATGCATGGGGAACTGACGGGGAGAGACTATAATTAGTAACTTGAAACAGGCCCACCCACCATGGTTCCACACGACACAATGACATTTAGCGAGTTTCAAAGTCATATAAATTTCATGTTTAAAAATAGTTTTCACATGGCTACCAAGACACATACAACATATTAACTAAACATCACTCCACAAAAATGAGGTTAGGCCTATTAGGACCTCAAGCATGGTCCTTCTTCGTTGACATTGGAAAGGTACGACCTTAACCTTCAAACGGTCGTTGGATATCCTGAAACGCGTGTATAATTCCAACAGCAATTATTAGGCCAATTAGTTATTACAGAGCGGCATCTGGCCTTCAGTATCGATCTATCGATGAATTGAGATGCCCGAGGGGTTTGAGGGTCAAGTGCGACCGGACAGATGGCTTCATTAGTCCTCCCAGACAGAGATGAGCAGTTAGAGAAGTGGACCTTCATTGAAACACAGAAGGGAACGTTTGTTTGGAATATCAAAGACCATTTGCAGCGTTATTGTTCTTGGTCTCCACGCACATACCAATTACTTTGACAGCGCAGACTACCATACATTTTCCGCAAAAAGTGCGATCTGATTTATTTTCACCCAGCCTACAGATACACGGGCAGTTAGTGTTAGAAATATAGCTGAAGAACAGAGGTTGTCACAGCGACTTAGTCTGTCTCACAGTCCCTCAACCGAAATGTTTCCTGCAAAGCTGAAGCCCTAAATGAAGCAAGTCTAAATTACCCCAGGTTCTGAATCTCCTATCTTACGGGGCTTTTTTCGATTTAAAGGGAATTGTTGGTTTTCATCAAAAACGTATACATACATGAAGTCAATGTGGTCAAAGACTTTCTAATGAGTTTGATGTTACGACGTGGTGTGCGATCGCCAAAATATCAGAGAACTTGACTTGCATTTTATGTGGTTTTTGTTTCAACAGTTAAACTGAAACATGAACTCTCCTTTTGTTTATATCGCATCTGCAACTTGGTCAATGTTCGGCCCTGAGCATGACACACTGAGAAGTACCACAAACTACGACTGAAGGCCCGTCTAGAACAAGTCCCACCAAGGCAGGGTGATACGGTCGATGGTTAAAAGGCAATGATTATACATATTAATTTAAATTCATACCAGGTGAAGGCTATAGCATTCCAGAGATTTTACGTCTGAAGTTCGATCACAAATAATAGCTGTCATGACAATCCTTGGTGTGTGGTTCATACCTTGTCTCACACCTGCATAACACAACAATCACAAGGGAGATTACTGGTGTACCTGCTGAATCAGTTACCTGGTAACACGATGCGTTTGACCCCAGGTGACCTGAAATACCTGTGAAGTCGCGGGCTGTCGGAATGATCATAAATTGGCTTGCTTGTGTTGCCATGGGATACCCTCTTACACAGCAACAAGTAACATGTCGCTGAGTGGAACGGAAACATCCATCAGACATACATGACCCTAAATATTCTGAATATTCTTGTCATATATTATGGATCAAGTCATTGGGCGGAACCGCCACTATTTGTGCAATTTTACTTTTTATCTTGTGTGGTGTCCTCACTCCCAAAACGTTCACGCAAGGCGTGGAGAAATGATCTGAAGGTGGATGGAGATACAATGAATGTTTGTACATATGCTGTAAGCTTGCCCACCCTCTTGTGTGGAATGTTCCAGCACACTCGACTACTGGTCAGTGCACGTGGTCGCAGGGTCAACGGGTCACTATGATTGATGGCTTGGAAACATCAAAGTCGACGTTGACCTGTGACGGCGTGGTGTGTTGACAGGAAACGTGCTGGTTGCAATGTAGCTTCAAAGATATTTACATTACGTGGACACTTAGCTTACGACATAGAAACCAGCGACATTCTCGGACTTATGAATACTTTCAAAAATATTACTCGTGAGGTAATTTTCATAATGATCAACACTAGCAATCGTGCTCCCAGCGTGTGACATTTACGAGGTGTATTCTGGTACGACCCACCCCACTGACACGCAGGTCGTTTTACGTAATAGATCAACAACGGATCAACCCGCAAAGGATATCGGATAATGAGATACTCATCTGGTGTGAAACAAGGTGGCCCTTTCATATCTACACCCGCCACGGCAGTTAATTAATCACGTGGAGAGAGATAACAGTGATGTTTTCATTAGCCCTATCACCTTGGCAATTACACTTCCTTCTGCAGCGTTCCGCCCGACCGACTGTCACCGATGTAGCAGGCTCTGATTTATTGATACCCGTGTGATTCCGACCCACGGAGCTGTGTCATCGTGCAAATACCAACAGCGGTTACGAGGTCATGGAAAGTGAACTAATAATATTGCCACATTATCAAATTCCCTAACCCATAAACGTGGTCTTGCGATCTGACCGCTGTAATTTGTCAAGATAGCTCAAGAAGCTTTGTACAGTTCAACAACGAAGGAACAGGATAAACATCCTGATCACCGGACCATTTAGGCGCTTGATCAAAAGCTCTGTTGAAGACAACTGTTTTTAGTTCTTTTTGTTTAAATGGAAGGATAAATCACATACATTTATATAGTCTGTCATACAGACCCTGAAACAAATATATACAAGAAAGCCCATGCACGTCTAGATTATGTGGCAAGTCTAGATAACCACAGTTCAAAGTCTCAAGGCTCCTTTTCATTACATTTGTTTTGTAAAATATGTTCATTTCAGAGACTAGTTGTTAGTCTAACATATATACGTCACATACAACTATTGCATCCCTGTCAATGAAACGGGTGACACTTCGCGCAACCCGCTAATGAAATACACATGTCCGTCAGCTGATGGTACTAATGAACACACCCTGCTATAGACAATGTGTCCAGTGCTAAGCAATCACTAGTGGACGGTGAGGAAGTGACGTAAGGTTACAGATGCTGATACCCTGCTCCGCTATCACAGCTATTCGCTACATCCTCCTATCTTATCGTAATACCCAATCCCAGTTACACAAAACAAAGCCCATTGGAAACACCACTTAGCAATTTAAAGTTGATGTTAATCTTTACCCATGCAACAAGAACACGATGATACTGGAACAACTATTTTCTGGTTGAGTTGCAGGAATACATGTATCTCGAAGCTAACCCATACCCTCATAGCCAAAAGAACATAGACAGATTAAATGAATGACCAAGTAAATCAGTGATTTGAATGCACGACATTGACCCCACGTGATGACCCCTGGAAATCCATCTCATACATAACCATTATCTAGTTATACAGGGATAATGTTAGGAATCAAATTATATGACATGCACCCTTTTCGACTCAGTGCACAGGAAAATGATTTGAGCAGGATTGCAATAGACACATATGTTTTGGGGTCGACCTCGTGCGAGAAGAATGGTTTCTTGTTGGGGTCACGTAATGTTTTCATACAATAACTTATGAATGGTCTGATACGAATCTTGAAACTGTTAGGTCAGCCAGTGTTGATGATAAACAATGACAGTAGCATGAAAACACTAAAGAACATTTAATAAGCACGTGTCAGCGACGTTAACAACCCCTGACACCATCACCGTCAACCACAATTGACTTTATATATACATATACTCCAGCTAAATAACTTCGTTATTAGGTCACTCAGGCCAATGAGAAAATAACAATGTTGTTTAGAACTGTTACAGCGTTTCAAAAAACACAATAGATTATGTCAAACATGATAAATATTATTTATTTAGATTTGTAAACATAGAGTAGGTTAATGCATTTGAAATATGTGAAGGGAATTCTATATTTGAAACAAACAATGAAAGTGACATACCTCTTTCCATTGTGAAATGTACACTTGTCAAAGAAACATCGATGTCGGTAACTGTCAGCTGATCACCCTTCACGCGCGGAGCACATGGCAGTATTTGTGTACATTTCTCGCACGTCAACCTTAAAATAGACCGGGGTCGCCGAACGCCAATCCAGCGATTTGATTGGTGCGCATTCAAGCGTAGAGCAGACGACCGTCAGTCTCAATCGGACGATTCTACTTGAAAAGTGGTGTGAGGCGTTTGTATTTTGTTTTTTTTCTTAATGTGTTATTGAATTATTAAGTGTGGCGTGAACCGAGAAAAACAACATCAATATCATTATCAGTAATATCAACTATATGCTCATAAAGTTTCAGCGATATATTTTTACTCTCACTCCGTGGTTTGAATGCAAACCTATCACCCCTATTGAAAAAGTTGAAAGTGGACTCTCCCGTTCTCAATAAATTGAGACTTTCACACACAAGATCTGTAATTTTCTCAGCGCGGCTGATGTCATCTTAAGTTGTAAGTTTTAAAAATACAACACAAAGGACAAAGACGATGGTGTGTGTGAAAGCTCCTCAGCGGGTTAATGAGGATGTCTCGGGCTTTAAGCCGAGAAGGATGTTTGCCTTTCTGCTGATGAAAATCTGACGTTGCTTATATCATCAGGATGCCCAATCAATAAATGTGTTTATTATTAGAGTGGTAAAACTACGTCATCTCCGACACAGATTACCTCTGAGGCGTCCTGCTGACTGGGATGACATGTACAGATACAAGGTCCCGAGTTTTATTGTTTGGTATGGTGAGCTGACACTGAATGGTATCCAGTGCGTCATATACCTTTACCGCTGACACTTCCACTGCTACTACCATTTCCACGGCCACTACCACTGCTGCTACACCACCACTAAAACCACCTCTACCACTACCACTGACACTACCACTGACACCACCACTCCCACTGCTGCTACACCACCACAACCACTACAACTGCTGCTACACCACCACTAACATTACTACTGCCAATATCACTTCAACGGACACTACCACTACCACTAACATCCCCACTACCACTAACATCCCCACTACCATCCCCACTAACACCATCCCTACCACGGCCAACTACCACTGCCACTGCTGCTGACACTACCACTTCCACTACCACTGCTGCTACACCACCACTACCACTGTCACTACCACTACCACTGCTGATAATACTACCACGGCCACCACCACCACTGTCACTTCCACTACCACTACCACTGTCACTACCACAACCACTGTCACTTCCACTGCCACCACCACTACCACTGCTGATAATACTACCACTACTACGACCTCAGCTGCTACACCATCATTCATTGATACTATCTCTAAGATTACTTCTGCCACATCACTTCCACGACCATTACCACTACCACTGCCGCTAACACTGCCACTACTACCACCCACGACGACTACCACTAAGGGGCGGTTGGGTAGCCTAGTAGTTAAAGCGTTTGCCCATCACGCTGAAGACCCGGGTTCGATTCTCACAATGTGTGAAGCCCATTTCCGGTGTCCCCCGCCGTGATATTGCTGGAATATTGCTAAAAGCGGCGGAAAACTAAACTCACTCACTATTAAGGCATGGGTTTCCCTGGCTATAAAATGCCTCCCCGTTATAACAGCCAACCCACTAATATGTCATACCGCACTATGTACAAATTGCTTAATCTTCGTAATTGTATCACTGTACACCAGCTGATGACCTCGACCAAAGGGTACCAGATTCCTGACACAGCTAGGGATGGATTCCGTCAAGTATTGCGGACAAAGCTATCAGTTTTTGCTGACGTGATATGATCATCAACAGTTTTCAATCATTTTGTTGATGACAAGCAGACAGTAATTTTTCTTGTTAGCAAAATGTTCCCCTGAATAATGACATTATATATGATAGTTGATGGCATCTTCCGTACTGTCATTATACATGGAACCCAATGAATGGCGTTGATCCGATTCTCCCAAACACGACTGGACAACCGCTATAGTTACACGTTCTGACTTCAGGTCATTGCGTCTCAAATCTTAGAGTTAACATTCGCCACCCTGAGTTGAGTTTTACCTGCATCGGCATTATTTCAGGGATATAGCGACAAGAACACCTCTGCGTTGATACAAAGTTTAAGTACAAAGTATAATGAGTGCTGTTTCGTTAAAAACAGCGGCAAGTGCTTCTGATAATGTATCTCCAATTAGATCTAAAACCTAGCCATCGATTTAACGTGTGTTTTTCTTGAATCGAGACATTTAAGGCATACAGTATAAGCGTGAAAAATCACACTTCTAATCGGTGAAAATACAAAGTGTTACCAAGTATTTTGGCCAGCTCATGATGCAGATTTGCATGGTATCTAGGGATCACCCATTTAATTTCTGATGACGAAGGGAGGGAGCGGGGTTGCGATGGAGGATTATTTAAAGATAAATCGTTTGCTCCGAGTGTTTGGGAAAACATGAACATTTTATTTTGAGGAAAATACCCAATCATCAAACATTTCGTGTTCATAGCGAACACGAACAGGGTATTTGTTTGTGCGCAGAAAATATATAGCTTATTGGATACAGCGGGGAAAATATAATATATATATATAATATAATAATGTTCCCCATCCCCACCCCTCCCAAGCAATCACTACCCAGCACATCCACCCACAGATCACAGGGATTCTCCCGTACATTGTTCAATGGCTGTGTACAGTAGAGTGCCACCCGTGAGGACACCGTGTGTTTTTTCTCTTGATTGCAGATTGCAAACAAGTATATGTATTTGTGTGAGGAAATAATTAATTCCTTTTGAACTTCTGAGCCTTCACGACATAAATCCTGCATTTAACCATAACTCAATATCCCACCTGCCACCCTAACATGCCCGACGACTGTTGCCAAGAATTCCTGTACCCGTCAACACTGACGTCTATAGGTAATCCACAATATACCTTTAGTTGGTAATAGAGGAAACTGAGGGGCTCTTAATTTCCTGCCGCCTTTATAAGGGAGAGAATATTGCTTAACGCCTAACCAGCCATTTTCGTGGCGAACGCTTTCAGAAATATGTCGTGAACATCGGCCCGGAACACTGTGAATAAGTTCCACACAGTGTGTGCACGTGGGGAAGAGCCATTTCGTGTGTATATCATTTAACGCAATTTTTCATGAGATAAAAACCGCTCGTAATCACAGCAACATAATCGGCTACATTTAGCCTGTCCTCTGTCTCATGGTCGTATGCGGTTGTCACTTCTTTACCTTGTGCTTACAGTGAGTGAGTATTGTTTCGCGCCGCTTTCACATATTCCAGCAATATCACGGCGGGGGATACCAGAAATGGGCTTCCCACATTGTACCCATGTGGGGAATCGAACCCGGGCCTTCGTCTTGACGAGCGAACGCTTTAACCACTAGGCTACCCCTCCTAGTGATTATATCTGCACCGGAATACATATACTGCCCAAGCACGTCCCTCCTCTCTTAACTTGTCAACCTTTTGCCTCACTATATTATGCAATTTTAAATAGACTTTATGTCGCCATGTAAACCCTCATCGTGCACTATATGTAGCCTTGTGCGAAATAAAGTTCAGTTCAGCTCACAGACTTAAACATATTGTCACATTTTCAACAATGCCATATTACAACAGAATAGTTTCCTATAAACTGTCTTCAAGAGACAGCCAAATAGCCCTTCCTGTATCCCAGCAGCCACAAATATTCTGCTAGCACGACTTCGACCACTAAAACACACAACAGAAAAGCAGGGTTCGACAGCAGGGTCACGATCTGACGTAGCCACACGCTTCTGTTCGTCTAAATACAAAGTTGTCATCACTTTTAATCCCCTTTCATTTGAAAATCTGACGACTAATCAGTGTTGATGAATGTTCGGTTTGTAGAGACAATTTACTGATAGCAGGGTTGCGTTATGGATTGACGGTCGATCCTACAGAGGAGAAGATGTTGACAGAAAACAACTGCCAAAATAATTTCAATTTCCGTTGTCTTCTAGAATATTCTACGACAATCAGACCGCGCAACTACTTCGACAAACAGGAGAGAAAGACTATGTCCGTGGGCAAGTCAACACAAGAAGAGCTGTCTATAAGTGGCATTTTAGAAGTTGGGGACTTTATGGATGACAACGTCTGCACGACATTTCGTTACAGATTCTTGTACTGGTGTCCCACTTAGAACAATGTTGTATTATGTTTGTTACTGATCGCCCCTGGGTCATTTAATTTATTAAACTGTGGTCATAATCGTAACAATAAGACAGACTTCATGGATGTAAATTTCTGACAACGATTGACATCCATAAATCACTTCAAAGACCTTAGTACGAAAACAATATAATATATGAAAGTATACATCTCCCGCTGACTAAAGATACCACCATCATCAGCATTGCTTCGGTTGTATCAAACAGCTTGGGTATGAAACTGACGAAGTCAGAAACATATAGCTGCGACCCCACGCCAGTGGCTCATTGTGATATGGCACTTAATGAACGTAACTCTTCCCAGTAGTGCCTCACTGTACTGGGGTGATAATGTCCACACTAATGATAAATATTTGTTAATAGTGCCGGTTTATAATAAAACGTGGTGAGGGCTACGTGTTGTGTAACTGACCGACAAAATGTATTAAGTATGGACAAGGTTTAAACCTACAAGGGCACACTCGAGTATTAATACTGGTAGCTCCAAATGGGGTTTAAACTTCTTAGTGAATGGGGATGGATACTGGCTGTTTCTTTGACAGGAGAAGTGGACAGGGAGTAGAGGTTCTGTTATGTGTGTGCACTCCTGACTGTAATAGCGCCTGGACGTGTCCACCATCACGTGATCACTCTGCTCCCCTATGCGATCAATAATACGACAATACCGCTATCTGTCCAGGAAATAAGCTGTATTACATCCAAGAGATTATACACGGTGCTGGTTACTCGCTGTCAACCGGCATCCAAGCATATGAACACCCTCATGTTTAGATATGGCAATCTCTGTCCTTGGACTCAACATGATAACGACGGTTTCCTGTGTCAAAGGGCAGATGA